AAGCTTTGAAAACGTCTCAAAGATCGATACATCTGATGGGTGATGAGAAAGGGTTGAGGAAAAGTAATTTTCTCTTATAGAGGGTACGCCCGCCTGGCTCATTAGTGTGTGTGTGTGTGTGTGTGTGTGTGTGTGTGTGTTACGTGAAACAATTGCATATATCGACAGTTTTGAAAATACAAGTGTAAGTACATACAAGCAAATATTATTAGTGGGGGGGGTGTACTTGTATATGATTATACATATACCGGAAACGCTTTTAAAAATGCGTTTGGACAATGAAATTAATGTGTAATTAATATCCCTACGGATATGTATATATTTGCGATATAATGTGTGTAACTTAGTGTAAGAATGCGTAGTGTTTGTGTAGAGCGTATCTACACCCAAGAGCACTGTTGTGTGTACTTTTTGTACAATGAACGAGGTAGTGAGTGTGTTAATAATGGTAGAGAGTTTCAGCACGAATATATACGAATACAGTACGTACACACGTGTGAAATGTGTACACGTATGAGCCGGTATGTGTATAACTGGTCTGTTTGTCTCCATATGACATAATACAGTCTGTGTGTTTGTGTGTGTGTGTTTGCGCGTGCGCGTACACACGCGCACTGAGTGTGATGGCAGCCTAGCTTGTGACGATGTAGGCGCCGTTGTTGTTGTTGTCGTTGAGCTAGAGACACAGTTCCTAGCCAATAATAATGTACCTTTCACAACATAACCTTATCTGACCCACATTTCTGCTCGTACCACCGCCTGCCTTTCCTCCACACAACCTTCACCCTCCAGTCGCCTCCTCTTCCTCCATCCTCCATCTCTCCTCCTCCTCTGGCTGCTGCTGCTGCCTGTGTTACATGTGCTCTTATAAGCTATTATGTTTTATATTCGCTCACTGCTGAGGCCACACTTGTTCTTTTTCTCTTTCACACCGCATCGATTTGCGTTTTTCTTTTTGCCTTTTACATTTGTTCGCTTTATTTCTGCTTTCTTTCCAGTCTTTCTTTTTCTTTTTTTTTTGACTTACACGTTTTTTTCTTTTTTGTTCTTCATTTTGGATTTTTGTTTTCCTTTCTTTATCTTCTTTTTTCTTTCTTTTCCCTTTCTTGCTCTTTTAGTCTTTTCCTTTACTTTTTCTTTTTCCTTTCTCTTCTCCTTTTCTTTCTTTTCTCCTTCTTTGCTTTGTTTTTTTTTCTTTCTCTTTTTCTCTATCTCCTGACATTTTTCTCATTTACTCTTTCTTTACTTACTACTCTTTCTCTCTGTCTCATGTTTCCTTAATCTCTAATTATTTTTAACATTTTATTTGTCGTGTTCTTAATATTTTTAAATTTCTTTCAATTTTTTTTTTTAATTTATAAAATTTTTTGTCAGTTTCTAATTTTTCTCTCCTTTTTTACTTTCTTGCTTCTTCTTTTATTTTATATTTCTTTCTGTAATTCTCACTTTTTTCAATATTTAAGAAAAAAATTCTCCCTCTTCCTTCTTAATTCTTCTTTTCTCTCTTTTAACTCCTCACTCTTTCTTTTTTTTACTTCCCAGTCTTTCCCTGTTAACTTCTATCGCTTTCTTTCTTTATGTTTTCTTTATTGATGTCTCATTCCTCTTCCCCACTTAATTCCTCTCTCTCTTCTGCCCTTCTTTCTCTCTCCCTAACTTTTCTTTCTCTTTCCCACTTGAGTCCTCATTCTTCCACCCTTATCTCTCTTCCCCACTAGATTCTTCTCCCTCTTCTCCATGATTCCTCTCTCTTCCCCATTTGCTTCCTCTCTCTTCCCCACTTGATTCCTCTCTCTTCTCCACTTGATTCCTCTCTCTTCACCACTTGATTCCTCTCTCTTCACCACTTGATTCCTCTCTCTTCCCAACTTGATTCCTCTCTCTTCTCCACTTGATTCCTCTCTTTCCCACACTTGTTTGCTTCCACCCTTCCCTCTCTTCCCCACTTGATTCCTCTCTCTTCCACCCTTGGCTCTCTTCCCCACTTCATCCATCTCTTTCTCTTGCACCTGTTTGCCTTTCCTTTTTGATATCTCTACATCCTTCCTTCTCTCCCTCTCTTGATTCCTCTCTCTTCCACCCGTGATTGCACTCTCTTCTCCACTTGCTTTTTCTCCTTTCCAACCTTGTCTCTCTTCCCTTCTTGATTTCTCACTCTTATACTGTTTTTTGTTCTCTTCCATCAAATTTCTTACCTGTTTCAGTTTTCAATCTTTTTATTTTTTTTTTGCTGTCCCTCAATTTTTATTTCCTTTCTTATTTCTCTTCTTTTTCATTACTTTTTTCTCCCCCCCCTTCAAGAAATAAATGAATTAAACAATGAAAATCTGTTTTATTTGTTCTGTAATCGAAACATTTTCTTTTTCTTTAGACAGCCATATTAGATTGCTTATTTCTTTGCAGGTCTCTTTCTTTGCCAACTTTTATTTCAAGATTTTACTCTATCACCTCATTGTTGAAAGATTTTTAATACTTGAAGAAAAAAGAAATGAAAAAAACTTCCAAATCAAACATGAAAAGAACAGAAAGTATTGTAAAGCAATAAGGCCCATCCCAGGAAAATAAAGTTCACTTAAGTTCATCTGGCTAAGTGATGGTTAACGTCACTAATCTGACATCTGTAGGATGCAGCCCAATAAGTGATTTTAACAGATTACTGATGGTTTTATTAGAATACTCACATTGAAACACTGTTTCTCAAAGTTAAGAAACCTCATGCCTGGTCAGCATCTATATGAGTAACTTTCTGGGATTACAAGGTTCTGTAAGTTTGAATATACAGATGCTGTAATGGGTAATGACTTGGGATAAGAAATCTAAGAGCCAAGTTTGAATTCCAGTCAGGTTCATTACATACACTTACACAAATACCCTTGGTTGCTCATGAATTGAAAAGAGGCTTGATTGTCCAAGCAGGTTACAGTGGCCTCTAACAACATGCATTGGGCCAATACAGTAGGGTAATGGCCCACTCCCTCTCATGAATCAAGGGTAAAACCTACACCCAACAAAAGACTTTCACAGACTGAGAAGATTGTATTGGAATACATTTAACTCAACAGTTAACCACTTCATCCTGCAAAAACCAATGGAATGGGCAGTGCTGGGGATAACAAAGAAAGTGATCAACATGGATTAGGGATTATATATCAAGATTAGCTTATTCATTAATCCTCCAAAGTGAGACATCTAAAATTGATAAAGTTCTTTATGTAATGTTTGCATTCATTTCTGACCACTGACAATGTCTTTATTCCTGATTTTCAATGAATTTCTATACTAAAATCTGCAATGCATCCATATAAAATGCAATAAACATATATATATATATATATATATATATATATATATATATATATATATATGTATGTATATATACATGTGTGTTAAAAATGGCTGTTGACTTGTTAGAGCATTGCTGACATGCAGTGCCTGTACCAAGCTTATAGTGGTGTATGACTTTACAACATTACGAAGACTCATGCCAACAATGCTAAGAATCCCAAAAACATAAAGATACATACGGGTGTACACATTTTAGTTCACAAAAACACGCCCATATAAACGATTCAAGACGGCCATTCTGAAAAGCGTGAAGACCACCCACATCTGTGTCTTGTTGAGAGAACATCACTACATATAAATGCTACAGTCTCGACACCGAAATAGAATTACAATTGCATATATATACATATTCAAATGCATGGATGTGTATCTGTGCCTAACCTCAGATTGTTTATATGTGTGAATTAAAATGCGTACATGTTTGTGTATCTATGGATGTGAGAGTGTCATCCCAAACACAGAAGAAAATTCCTCCTCCCACCACCAAACATAATCAAACACAAGTGTTAATAGATCCATTTTTAAAAAAATAAACCAGTTTGTCTGATGATTGCAAAAGCATGAAACCCAGGGTTACAAACTAATATCCATATAGCTGAAATATATGTATGTCTGCTTATTTTTATCATAATCCTTTCATACTCATGAATATTTTTCTGTATATTTGATTGTAATATACGGAAAAATATTTGTGAATATAGAAATGATTATAAAAGAAATAAGCAGACAATGTTTGTAATTTATTCAATCAGACATACATATATGTGTGTGTGTGTGTGTGTGTGTGTGTGTATATATGTCTGCTTATTTTTCTCATAATCCTTTCATATTCATGGATGTTTTTTTGTATATTACAATTGAATAAGATCATCATCAGAGGTGCAACTGATGATCTCAGAAAGAGATAGAAAGTACTTAGGAAATAAAAGTGATTCTCACTGTTACAGTACATTTATTGCCTTATTTAATTGTAATATATAGAAAAATATTCATGAATATAAAAGGATTATGATAAAAATAAGCAGGCATAATATTTGTAATTTATTCAATCAGACATGCCTAAAAGAGAATTTGCTGCCTAAATGCACAAATATATATGTAAATATAAGTAAAAGTTTTTCACTTAGCTGATTGATGTTACCTTCAGCATATCAACTCCAGAGTTTCGTAGTCAGACCCATTCATCTGCTCGTAAGGGGGTATCAGCAATTGACTGCTTATATTTCATGATTTTTCTTTTTTTATTCATTTTATTACTTATTATCAAAGATACTCATATTTGAAATAGATGTCCCATTTTTATCTTTATTTTGAACATTGTGTATTGCAACTTTCTGGCTGTGTGGTTTTGGGGTTATGCCATTTCCTAGGAATATTTACATTTGTGCCTTTTAAGAAAAGGCAAAATGTATTTTTTTAGATAAAATACTTGATTTAAAATATTAATATTATTAAATATTGTTTAATATGGCCAACTTTTCAACTCTTCCTTTTTTATTTAATATTTCTTGCCTATATACCAACAAATATACAAAAGAATCCTTTGTATAAAATAAAATACTTTTTTTTTATCTAATGTTTTTTTTTTGTTTTTGTTTTCTTCATTTGTGCAGCAAGTCAATGGATGTGGGACCCGAGGATTTCTTCTGGACTCAATGTTCGACTTTGCTGACCATTTTAACAAACTGAACCTGAAAGAAAATGAGCTGGCTCTATTTTCTGCCATTGTGCTTTTCTCACCTGGTCAGTATTTTTTTTCTCATTATTAATTTAAAAAAAAAAAGAAAGAAAAAAAAAAAAGAAAATTAATTTTAACCTTTATCATTCTGTATGTGACTTTATTTGCTGTACAAATGTTTATCCTGCCATTGAAGATGAACAATAGTGTGTTTGAATTTCATAGTTGTGTTGTTATATCCTGCTATGACAACAGAAAACATCTGTCAACAATCCTTTTTAACCTTTATCATTCTGTATGTGACTTCATTTACTGTACAAAAAGTTTACTCTGCTACTGAAAATAACTATGATCCCCAAACAATAGTGTGATGAATTTCATAGTTGCGTTGTCACATCCTGCTCAGGATGGGACAATCCACCACCACCACCGACACAACAATGCCAACTCATCTCTGTGACAACTCAACACCAACCTACTCAGTTGAGGACAACTCAACAACATGGAAACTATGAAATTTTTTTTGCTGATCATTTTTTAATACATGATTTTATTTTAAATTTAAAAAATTCATTGAAAAATTGTCTGCAATTCCCCTGAAATATTCAATTGGAGATTGTTGCAAAAAAGAAGAATCAATCTGCAAAATTCTTTCATCTGCCTTCATAGACTTCTTCAATTTAATTACTCTTTGAAGTCCTTGAAAAAGAATGCAGTGGAAAGGGAAGTAATATTAATAATGCAAAGTGCTAAAGGTTAACTCTGTCACTTGCCACCAAGTTAATTTTAGCAAGTTTTTTAAATCCATATTTTTAATACTAACATTAAAATTTAGCACGGCTCGAGAGCCACTGAAGGTAGAGGGCTACTGTTAAAATGTTTATGAGGAGTTATATGAGCAAAAGAGGAAAGAATAGAAAGTGAAAGTTATAACGATAGATAATGATTGAACTTTGTCATGAAGAGGTGTATTATCTACATGTTTAACAAAACAAACATTTCATATCTAATATATAAAGCTCAAAGTCTGTCAGATAGTAGAAAGTGTCATTAGAAACAAAGAGTGCTGAACTGCTATGTAATACCTAATCTCTGATTAGACAGTGAACAATTTCCTTGCAGATTAAGAAAAAAGTGACAGGACTGTAGTTCTGACAAATGCTAAGAATAACATGGACTGAACATGTGAACAATGAAGAAGTCTTGGGGCAAATTGGAATTCTGATACTTAAAAATTAGACAGTTGAAATTTCTGGAACACCTAATGAGGAAAGAAGGCCTAGAAAATTGAACACTCACAGGATATAATGAAGGCAAGAGAAGCAAAGAGGGAAAAACATTTGTTGAATGGATGGCAGAATGTGAACAAAGCAGGAGGATAATGGGTAAAAAAATAGAGCAACAAAGAATAGGAAGTTGTGGAGAGCCATGCCCTGAAAGGACTTGGCACATAAAAGAAGAACTATTTCTAATGGAGAAAATTAATGATTAATTAATGGAGATAATAAATTTGCATATTCAGCTTAAAAAATCAATTTTTAAAAATTAAATGTCCTGTTATATATATTCCCTGCTTAATATAAACATTTTTTAATCATTTCAACCAGAAGCAAGGCAATAAAGCCACTAAAATGCAAGAGGTTACTGAATGTGAAAGAATAGGAGAAAAAGAAAAATATTAAGGGGTGAGAACAACAAAAAAACAGGAATTATAATTAATTTTCTTATTTTATTACATTTATCATATGATTAAATTACATTTATCAATTTGATACATGTAATAAAATTATTATATCAAGTTATTTTATTGCTTTTTATTTTAGTCATATGAATTCATAATCATATGAATAAAAATGTTGAAAGATTATTTGAGGCATAAAACTGACAATCACCATGCAGTGTTGATTCCTATATCCACACTCTACATTTCTTAATTTTCTCTCTTCAAAATCTCTTCTACCAAAAATAGCAGATGTGCAGATGATGTAATGGTTAGTGGCTTGGAGTGAGAAATCAAATTCCAGTCGAATTCATAATATTCACTTATACACAAATACTCTTGAGAAAGGGATGAATCCATCTCTTTCCATCAGCTATGGGTTAAAATATATCTGGAAAAATCATTGTTGTTCTCAAAGAAATTGTTAATGAAATATTAATTTGCAAAAAGAAAGAATTACTCTTACAATCTTAAATATGTTTTGGCTTTAAATAACCTGCAAAGGGTTGATAATCCATGAAAAGAAATCAATTAATCCCCCCACCTAAATATACCAAATTTAAGCAACTTATATGAATTAATATAATTTATATTTAAATTTCTAAAGTATTAATGTATTTTATTTATAATTTAACATTATTTCTTATCACTTTAAACATTGTTTATTGGATATCCATGTTTGAGTAAAATAGTGGAATACAGACTCAAACTGTGCTGGAAGTGTTTATTAAGACTCTTGAATACACAGACGTAGATGTAAATTTACACTATATATATATATATATATTAAAGAAAAACAGACCACTTTAAGGTTCCATTATAATAATTTATTTCACCAGAACCCTTTTAAGGGACACTGGATCATCAGATAACACTTCCAAAAATTAAATGAAAGATGAAATGAAAATTCATACTTTTGACGGGTAGTATCAAGTTTATGTAATTTAACAGAGAGGGTAGAGAGGAGTGGTGGGAGAGACATGGTTGAGTTTAGAGGGGGTTTATTTTAATATTTCTTTCAATCATACTTAGTATTGGGGGAGGAGGGACCAGACTTTGACCTATTTAAACGGTTAACTTAACGGAAGTGATATATTGAAATTGGAGGGGAGAAGAGAAAAGAAGAAAGAAGGTGGAAGTAAAGAGAAAGAAGCTGTAATTAGGTTTTACGTAGGAAGAAGGGGGTGGTATATTTTTAGCAATTTATGTAAAAAAAAATAGATTTTAATGTTTGATAGTAATTTAAATGTTCAAAAAATACCACGAAGAAATTAATTTGATGCTTGCTAGCAATTTAAATATTTAACTCTTTTTACAAATATATATATATATATATATATATATCCTGACTCCAGAATTTCATTTACAAAACCACTGAGAATCACTCTGTCCACTCATCAGGAGGTATCAACAATTGACTGCTTATACCTCTTGATTTTTTTTTTCATTTACACTTTTCATATGCACAAGTTTTTTTTTTCCATAGTGCAATTATGCATGAGTGTGTGTGTTCCTGTGTTTGCACCTGCCTGCGTATCTGTGTGTACATATAGAATGTCATAGTTATTTTTTTAATTGTATTTTTCATTTTACACTCCTTATGAATTTAAAAAAAAAAGGAAAACTTTTCTTTACCAAAGCATTTCAACCCCTGTGAACTCTATCTGATGACAAAATGCATTAGTAAAGTTTTATTTTTGTTTTCATCATATTGTCTTTTCATAGATATATTTAATTTGTATCTGAATTTTCACATGCACACACAAACACACACATCCATATACACAGTCTCTCATACATATTAGTAAAAGAAAACTAAATACATAAATACTTTACGATTTCAATAATTTAATAAAATAAAAATTGCTTTGCTTTTTGGTGCTTTGTTTATGTATTCTACAATATACAGGGGGGGGACATGTATGACCCATATAGGTAATAATGGTCCATTTTTATTTTCACAAATTCACTTTTTTTTTATAATTTTTTTCTCTTTCCAACACTGAACTTTTTTTTTTTTTTTTTTCTCTCTCTCCTCAGACCGTCCAGGATTAAGAAATGTTGAACAGATAAGAAAACTCCAAGAAACTTTGTTGAAATCTCTGGAAAGTCTTGTTACTCACAACCATATAGATGATCCGACCTATTTTAGCAAACTGATGAGGAAAACCACGGATTTGCGAACCATAAACACGTTACATTCAGAAAAATTAGTCATATGTAAGTAGATGATGTTCTTCTTTCAAAATGTATTTCTCTCGGCAGTGTCACCACAGAAAGATCTTTTGTTGTTGTTGCTGGGGATTTGGGAATCACTCCTGTTACTAATTTTATTTTTCTTTAGTAAAGATTAATCATTCCTGAAGGTGTGACTTTGTCTTTGCTATTTCCAGTCCCTTGCACGTACCCAGTGATGATAAAAATGATTTTTTAATTCAGATTATTTAAGTTATACAACTCACAAATTTTTTACAACTCTTGGATTATCTTGAAGGATTGCGACAAAACGCTATGGATATTCTTCACCCTTTCTTGACTCTTGCACAAGTTACCCACTACAGAAGCTACATATACAAGCAAGTCCTTCTAGAAAAGTTCCTAAAATGATATAGTTTCCTAATGATGGTTGTAAACAACTGGCAGGTGATCACAACAACTTGTATAAATGAAACATATTATGTTTTAAAATATTTAAAATTAATTATTTAATTAATTGAAATTATACACTAAAGGCCCACTATGCTGTATATGCAGGGACAATTCATCATCGTTCCCTTCATCTTCTATTGATAAGGAGAAAGTTCCATTTGGACAGTTTCTTTGCAATAATCGCTATTTTGTTAGCATTCTGGCCATAAAAGGCATGTTTGAATCTTTCTATAGTTGATTTGCCAAGGAGGTGAAACTAAAAATTTTATGTGTATACAGAAAACATGATTCAATTTTTGCTGCTGACATGAAAAAATCTTCTTACACTTTGCAGCTCTGATTGTCCACTGTTTTATTAAGGCATCTCCCTCCAGCTATGGGTTAAATAGTGCAGTAGACTGGGCTCTCTATCCTTGGGTACCAACTAGTTTAAGAGAATTCTGAATTCCAATTTGTGGTGAAGATAATGGGAAACTACTGGCAATTCACAGATAAAATGAAAATGGAATGTGTGGAGTCATGATTCCCAACATTCTGAAGGGAGATGACATTTAAAAAAGAAATTTGTTGTGATATTACATGTTAAGACTTTTCTGGTTATTACAAGAAGTAGTGCACACTACCTTGTTTTGTGTTTATAGCTCTCACAATGTTTTAATTCTGGTTACTTTTCGGGCATTTTTTTTTTTTTTAAATCATTTCATCCCAGGTAAGGCAATAATTCCACTAAGACACAAAGGGTTTCTGAGAGTGAGAATGAAAAGACTGGTGAGGAGAAAGGACAATAAAAGAAGAGGATTCAGGAAAACAGAAGATAGCAATTGATTTTGCATTTAAATATTTGACAGGGAAGCAATAAACCAAAGGAGAGTTGCAGACTGCAAGAGAAGAAACTATCAGAAAAGAACCTATGGTTACATTTAGCTAGACCAACAGTAAAACAGTGAGACCTACCTTCCATTCTAGTAGTACAATTAAATTCACGTGGTCAAGATACCAAGAAGGAGAGCTTATTAGAACAACTGTTATGAGAATATTTATAGAAAAGACATAGTGAAGCCTCGACATGATAGTAGGAAAGTGACTATGGGCGAGATACCAGATCAGGACCAATGACATTACAATCCCTTCTTTGGATTTTGTCAAGAATCTTGAGATATAATGTGTGAGACAGAGTGAGTGATTTAGTTGGTTGCTTATTTCCTACCAGTTTAGTATCTTGGTACTCAATGTTGGTATTTTCCAGCAAACAATTTTGTTATAAGATGAATGAAAGCAACTTACAGAACTGTCTGCTCATGGGTAACTTGTGCACAATTTTGTTAATATTTAAACTTTTATTTTCATATTTACATTTTTTTTCAAACTATTGTCCTCATCTTTATTGTCATATTCACAATATTTCGGCCATTGTACGCTCCGGCCTTCTTCAGGTGAGATACATTGGGATTTCAAACCAAAATGAGAACAGTTTATCCCAGTGGCTCGGTTCAAATTCCCAATTTGTATCACCTGGAGAAGACCAAAGCATACAATGACTGAAATGCCAGGAATATGACAATAGTGTAAATAGTTACAATACCTGATATTTAAAAAAAATATAGATGTTTTATTTACATCATCCTGATAACATAAAATGTATTCAATAGATTTGAATTTTTTTTTTTTTTTTTTTTTTTGTGGCCTTGGTCTTTGTAAACTAAACCAAATTATAGAGCTTGTGCCTTGGAAGAAGTATTCAGTTATATGACCGTCTTGAATCTTCCTGGTATATTCCTAGAAAAGAATAATATAGATGCAAAATTGAAAATACAGACATTGACTGACTGACAGATAGACAAGCATTTAGTGGAATGTATAGGTGCCATTGACTAGATCTTACAAAGACATGCTGTGGCAGGAAAAAACATGGCTGACACCATTGGCTGATGGGATAGCTCCTTTCTACTTTCTTATTTTTTTTTTCTTCTCAGATGACTCCTATTTTTAGCTACTTGTTGAGAGAACTCTATTGTAAGCATCCAGGTTCATTTTTGTTTTTTCTTGTTTTTTGCCCAAAATTTCTCTTCTGAATTCAGGACCCTCCCCTCCTCATTCAACAGTTTTTTCAAGGTGATTTTTTTTTTTTTGCCTGCACTACACCTCAGAAAGTAGGTAATAGGGCTTAACCACATTCTAATCATTACCACTTTGAAAAGAATATGTGCCATTATAGCTAACTAGGTAAGCAAAAAAGATATGTTAGCAAGTCAATACACAGCCTGGCTGGCATGTATTGTAACTTCTGTTTGTCATTTATTCAATGCTATGTGATGCCTTTGTGGATGTGGTTCAATGGTAAGAGTGTAGGACATGATAGATTTATGGTTTTATCTCTAAGCTGTTTATATAGAACATGATATCATTGGTAGGATTTATTAAACAACAGAATAACTTTTATGATTGCATATATAGTGCCAGATCAGGCATCTCAACTTCAGTCAATTTCTCACCAATGTGACATGGCTTCCCTCTGTCTCTTCTACAAGTATTTTCATGGCAACTATTCTGACATGTTTTTTTCCTTGGTGCCCTGAATATATGAATTTAAGCATGCTACTAGATTGGCATCTAGGTCCCACCATTTTACTTTTGGCTAAATGCAACTACTCCAACAGTTTCTTTTCTCGCACTTCCTACCTGTGGAACTCTTTTCCGTTCCCTTGCTTCCCTGATAACTACAATTTTCAAAAATTTAAATGCAATGTCAATCATCATTTTCTGTCTTCTTGAATCCCATCTATTTTTTGTTCTTTTCTCAATCCTCCTTATTCTCAGTCTTTTCTTTCACTTTCATTCCTTGTAACCCCTTGTGTACTAGTAGCACAACCACCTTGCTTGGGATGAAATGATTAAAAAAAATAGTAAAAGCACACACACACACACACACACACACACATATATATATATATATATATATATATATATATATACTGGAAATTACTTGTGATATTATGAGTAGGATATATTAAACAATTACATCAAAATCAAATGTGGGATTATCAATCATCAGGATTTACTGACAGAACAAGAGTATTATTAATCAAGTGGAATTCAATGATTTAAACACAATTTTACAAATTTTAATGTAAAACTTGTTTAAATGAATTTCCACAAATTTGTGCATCAAAAATCTCAATGAAAGGGATTATTCATGGTCAGGAATTAATTCAAGTGTTAAGAAGAGAATAAGACTTATAATTTGTATCTTTATTTGTGTTCTCGGTTTGGTTGTTATAGTCATACTGTTTTGACCATTGTACCCTGCAGTCATCTTCATATTCAGCCAACCCTCATGACACATGTCTTTTAATATTTCATAGTTAGTAACATCTTGCCCATCTCTTCCACTAAACTAGAGTATATGACATTTTGCACTACCCTACCCAGAGATTGAACTCATTACCACCAAGTAACAAGATATGCAATAGCAATACTTTTAACCAATAGACCATTGCAGCTTTAAACTTAATGTCACTTCAGAGTCTGTCTATATTTCTGAGATGAGGTATTATGTACATTATTTACATTAATCAGACTATTGTCCTCATCTTTGTCACCATATTTATCACAACGTTTCGGCCATTGTACACTCCGGCCTTCTTCAGGTGGTTGGAATGTCAAACTGAACCCTTTATTTCGCCCACTGGGGTAGACTGTTCTAGTTCTATGTGCCATGTTTGATGGATGTCACCTATCAGTTATTTCCTGTTAATTTTCCCTCTGAAAGTTCTCCACTGCCTTAACCGGGTATTGAACTCACACTCTTTGGGTCTTGTGACTGGATCTAACCAACGCCTTTATCCATGTGTCCAAGGATAAATATGGCGACAAAGATGAGGACAATAGTCCAAATAATGTAAATAATGTTAATGTCACTTGTCTGCTTCTTCAACTGAATCAGAATATGTGACCTTTACACGACTAGTTAGTGCAGTTTTTGTGTGTTGGGCTTAATGTTTTTTCTTCATTAGGGATTCATTTCTCTATTGTTTCCATGATAGTGTTTTGGCACAAAAAATATTCAGATGTTTTCTTTTAAGCAATAACGAAATATCACTTTTTAGTGGATATATTCAAAATGCACTTTGGAAGCTACAGAAAGGAGTATTGTCATTATCTTTTAAATGAATTTACTCAAACAGCATGATATAGATATGCAATGGGAGAGGCAATAATCAAAATTTGGTTGATGGTAATCCATCTAAGAGAAGGAAAACTCTGATTTCAAACCCTCACTGCCTTGAGGAAACTATGAGGATATCTGGACTCAGCCCCGTAACAAGGCCACGTAAACGCTTTTGAACTCTGTCAAGGCCAAAAAGTGACAATTGAGCAGCTCTAGCCCACAGATGGCAGAAATATTTCAGTTTTTGGTTTGATCTGATTCTTGTAGAGATAAAGCATGGTAGGAGAAGCCAGGTACTTTCTGTAGTGATACAAGGAACTGACCATTTTTCCCCAGACTCTTTAGCGATGAACTTGAACTTGAGATCTGGGTAGAACTTGAGTCCCAAAAGACATCCAGCACAACGTGCCACATTGAGTGTACAACCTGTTCTAGTCTAGGGTTAACCATTATCTTTCCCACATACCCTCATAAACTGCATTTCTTACCTCTTATTCTTACCGCTCACACAACAAACTTCTTTGAGTGGCTCTTGGGCCTTATACAGAGGAAACATTAATAAAAAAAAAAAAAAAAAAAATTGAGTGTAGGCAGAAGAGAATTTATGCCTTTCCCAAGAGTATCAACATGAACTGAATGCAAACATACCCAACAAAAATTCCATGCTGATAACAACCATGTCACTTCGCATTTCTTTGAAATACCTAAGCTTATCTCAACCAAACTTAGATCTTTGCATTCAGGAAGCCTGTGGAGTATTTATTGTGAAACCTATAAAACTGCCTCCCAGGGCATTTTTTTTTTTTATTTTATAGGCAATTAGATAACTTGATGGTTGAGCATATTTTTGAGAGTTTAGGATTTGTGAGGTCAAGATGCCCTAAAATAATAACATTTTATTGCAGGGATCAAGCAGCTAGTTTTCTTTAGAATGAAGACAAGCCTAGAGATAGAAAAGGCAGAAAGATTTACAGAGAGATGAAAACAGAACAATAAATGAACAAAACACTTAACAGTGTCATTCTTTTTCCTCAAAAATCAGGACTACATGAAGGTGGATCCCACAGGGGTTCGTCAGGTGGTAGTGAAAGAGGATGAAGAGAACAGCAGTTTCGAGCCTTGGAGTTTCCTTGTTGCACTTTGTACTTTATTTCTCTTGGTTTCTTTCTGATCTTCCTGCTATTCTCTCTTTCACCCTCTCTTTGTGCTTATATATATATATATATGTGTGTGTGTGTGTGTGTGTGCTTATACATATATATATATTATTACTATTTATATATATTTATATATATATATATTACTATTTTATATATATATATATATATATATATATATATATATTTTTTATATATATATATATATATACTATTTTATATATATATATATATATATATATATTATTACTATTTATATATATATATATATTATATATATATTATTACTATTTTATATATATATATATATATATATATATATATTATATTTTATATATATATATATATTATTACTATTTATATATATATATATATATATATATATATTATTACTATTTTATATATATATATATATATATATATATATATTATATTTATATATATATATATATATATATATATTATTACTATTTATATATATATATATTATTACTATTTATATATATATATATATATATAACAATTATTATTATATATATATATAATTATATATGTATAATTATTATATATATATATATCAGCAGTATTTTGTGTGTTTATATAAGCAATGAGAGAGAATACAAGAATAAAAAGAAAAGTGGGAATATATTTTTTCACTCTCCTTTTACTTCTCCCTTCTCCTTTTTATTCTTCTCTTTCCCTCCCTATGTTCTAGATCTATCTTTCCCTCTCTTTCCTCATTTTCCTCATTCATTTCTTTCTCTCTTTTTTGCACTTTCTTGTATATTCTCTCTTCTCACATTTCTCTCCTTTTCACTCCCTATATTTCCTACATGTTCTTTCACTACCTCTCTTCTTCTCTACAGTTTTCTCTGTCTCTCTTTTTCTTACACCTTCTCTCTTTATTTTCTTTTTCTGACTCTTTCCCTTCTTGCATTCTACTCTTCTCTTTACCCTCTCCTTCTTAAGATCCTTTATGTTTTTGTTTTTTTTGTTTTTTATCCTCTCTGTCATATTCTTTCTCTCATTCTCCCTATATTCCCCCCCCCTGCTGGAATTACCCTCTTGACCTTTTTTCTCGTCTCTTTCACTGCCCTCCTTTCCCCTTATGATAAAATTTCCAGAAAGAAAATACAGTTCAAAAAAATATTTCGGACAGCAGGAAATGTCAAATCCTTTTTACCATTTTTTTTTCTCTTTCTTTTAATTCAGCTTCATTGAAATCCACAAATAAATTCTTTGATAATTGGAAGTTTTTAATTCTTATTTAACTTAATCTTTTTCTTTTCTTTTCTTTTTTTTTTTTCTTGTTCCTCTCATACCCTTTCTCTTTTTCTCTCCTTCCCTTATTTTCCTCTCCTTCCTTCTATCTCTTCTCATTCCTTTTTCATTTTTCTCTCTTTTCCTTCATTTTCATTTTACATTCTTCTTCCTTTACTTTTTTCCTCTTTCTCTTGTCTGCTTTTTATTTCTTCTTTCTTTTCTCTTTTCTCCACCTTTTCTCGTTTTCTTTCCTCTATTCTCCTTTCTTTTCTCTCCTTTTTTCTATTTTCCTTCTCTCTTTTCCACTCTTTCTCTACATGTTACTTTCTCCTTCTCTCTTCCTTTTCTTCACTTCATTTTTCTTCTTTATATCTTTTTCTCTCTGATTAATTCTTGTTTTTATTTCACGGCTTTACCCATATCCAATCAGGTGCTCAACTAAAAAGATGTCAAGCTTTAAAAAAATAAAATATAAAAATAAACTTTAATAACTCAAAATTACTTCTTACTCACATGAGTAGAAAAGAAATTTGATAATCCTCTTGGGGGAGAGGCAAATTATTTTATTTCTACTGTGTGTTTTCAGATACAGTCATATTCTCAAACACCACTTTTTTCTGCTTTTATTCAGTTCATCTGAAAAGCAGCAGTAAAAATATTTTATCTACCAAAACCTAAATCCATTGGACATTCAACAGAAAATGGTCTCTGTTGTTTGATTGGCATTTAGGGAACATTTAAAGTTTTTTTTTTTTTCTTTCAATAGTTAAAACGGACAGAATTGTGTGTTATCTAAAATTTACAATTACAATATTTCTGATATTCTAATTTTTTTTAGTGTCTTCACTCTTTTCTTGATTAGTAACTTCCTTCTTATTACTTTTACTAGTCTCATCTTATTGCTTTTATTAGTTTCTTCATCCTATTGCTTTCATTAGGTTCTTTTTATTGCTTTGATACTATATTCAGCTTATTGCTCTTATTTATCTCTTCATCTTATTGCTCTTATTTGTCTCTTCATCTTATTGCTTTTCTACTATGTTCAACTTATCACTTTTTATTAATATGTTCAACTTATTTCTTTACTTGTATCTATATTTTTGAATTGGTATATTCATCATCTTTTGTTGATGAGTATTTTGACTTTTTTTATTAGCATTTTTTTTTACTACTATTTTGATTTATTTTTAACCCTTTACTGAAGTTGCTTCATTCATAATTCCCATAATTTAATTTCAAACCAAATTATTTTCTGAAAATATTTTGATGAAAGATAATATAAAGAAAAGTATATAAGTAAAAAAGAAACATATCTGAATTATAAGGAAAAGATTTTCATCTTAAAATGAAAATTCATTTTGTCTTCCTCATTTTTGTTTTTACCAATCATCTCCCTCAATTCCATCAGAAAATATAATTACCGTTTGTTCTATTTTTGTCAATTTCTTGTCTCATATACAAAAATACCTTCCTTATTTTTGTTTTTGTCTCTTAGTCAACATTAGTATAACCGATCCCCTGTCTTATCTGTTGACCTACAAGAAAGCGAGTCTTGTTTGTTAAATCCTACTTACTAACAACCATACTATTGTTATTCAAGTCTTCTTTCATTTTGAAACCATCAGGAGTTAGGTGATCTATAACTGCCACTGGCCAATATTGCTACTAAATCATTGAAGGCCATTTTTCTCAATTACAAAAAGAGGTTATGATTATATTTTGATTGTAATGTTATTTTTAAGACACTACAGTGTGTTTTGAATTAGGGTGAAGTCATTGTAGACAATGAAATAAATGGTTATGGTGGTTCCATTATAATTTATTTATTTTTCTTTAAATAGGATTTTTTTCTAACACATACTTCTAAAATAGCAGATAAAGTGATATTTTCTGGATTTTATAGTTTGATATTTTTTTTCCCACCCGTAAAAAAAGTGGATAATTTGCATGTTTTTTTTTTTTTTCTTTTTTTTTTCTACTCTTATTCTTTAATATTTCTTTTTTATCTTTTTCTTTTTTCATTGGTCTCTTTGTTTCCTTTTGACTTTTTCATTCAACCTTGAATTTTGACTGTGTCAAGGAATGAAAACTTGTGGAGAGCCACAATCAAGAGGGGACATGGAACATAAAAGAAGAAGTCTGTTTCTATCCACATTTTAATCATTTTCTTTCTTGTCATGTTCAACCTCTCCTTTCACTTTCTGATTGTCTCCTCTTTCAATCCTTTCTATTTTATCTTTCTTCTATTTTTGTTTTTTTATCTTTCTTCCTCAACCTCCTTCTCAGTCTTTCTTCTTCTTTCTGTTATGCTCTTACTTTCCCTTTTTCTTCTCTTTCCTTCCACATCATTCCCTTTTATTTTTCCTTAATTCATTCTCCTTCTTCTCTCCATTTTGTCTTTATCTCTTTCATTGTCTTTCATTCTACCCTCTGTCTCTTTCATTCACTTTCATATTCTTCTCCACCTCATTTATTCTCTCTCTTTCTCTCTTATTTTTCCCCTCTGTCTCTTTCATTTTCTATAACTTTTTCTTTCTATTTCATTCATTCTCTTTCACTTTTTCTTCTGCCTCTTTCCTTCTGTTCCTTCATCTCTTTCAATTTCCCCCACTTTCTTTCATTGTCTCTCATTTTTGAATGTACTTCTTTCATTGTTTCCCATTTTCCCTCTCTCTTTTTCATTCTCCTTCATTTACCTTCCATTTTTTTTTCTTTCAATCTCTTTCATTCTCTTCAAATCCTCACTCCTTGTCATGTTCTTCATTAGCTTCTCCCTTTTTCATTATTATAATTCTCAGAAATGAATCTCTTTACGGATTTTTCTCTCCCTCATCTTTTGACCCCACAGGATCCATTGCATGGTAACAGTTTCTTTTAAAAGGAACACACACTACTCCTGTGGCTGTAGAGACAGGCTCCCATTAACTGATAACACCTTCTTTCCACAGCTAACTCCTTATTATCATTGTTTTCTCATCCTTCCTTTTGCCTGTATACTTGCTTGTTTGTATTGGCTACCCAGCAAGACAATTGGCCAACTGGTCGGCTGTATTGTCATATCGCCAGGCAATCATCATCGGTCTCTACAACTTGTCGGCTCCTCCTCGATTTTCTTTTGGGCTTTTTGTCTTCTTCACTTTTGCTTTCTTTCTCTTCAACACTTTCTTTACCCAATTTTCTTTTCAGTTTTATTCTCTCTTTTCTCCCTATTTTCTTGTATTCCTTCTTTCTTTAATCTCCTTCTTTTTTTTTATTTTCTCCCTCTCTCTCTCTCTCTCTCTCTCTCTTTCTCCCCCCACTTATTTTCTCCATCTTTGTTTCTCGCTTTGCTTGATTCTTCTCCCTTTTTCTCATTTATATATTTCTCTCGCTCTCTTTGCCTCTTTTCAGCACTCTTTGTTTCTCCGCTTCTCGTTATTCTCTCCTTTTTTCTTCTTTTTTCTCTTGTTTTCTCTTTATCTTGTTCTTTTTTTCATCATACCCTCTTTCTCACTCTCATATTTTATTCCTATGTTTCTTTCCTTCATAGTCTCTCTCTCTCCCACATTGTTTCTCTTTGTCTTTTTCATTGTTACTTATCTCTTTCTCTTTTTTGTATTTCTCTTTCTTTGTCTCTTTTTTATCCTTTTCTTTTCTTTTATGATTTACTCTCTCTCTCTTTCCCACTCATATTCTATTCCTGTGTCTCTTTCTTTCTTCTTTTTCAGTCATTCTTTCTTCTTTCTCAATCATTCCCACTCCCACTCTCTCTCTCTCTCTCTCTCTCTCTCTCTCTCTCTCTCTCTTTCCATTCATGCTATCATTCTTTCCTCTATATTCTTTGCAACTTCTCTTGAATTTTGGGGCAGCCTCAGGGTATGTCATCCTGCCCTCACTGCTGCAAACGCTACAACTCTTCTGCCTTCATACACCAGTCCCACCACTACACTGCACAAGATGTACCCTCTCCATCTCTAAGAGCCCCACCCATATCTTCCCCCAAGCACTATTCACTCCCGTGGCTAGATCATGGCTGCTCTACTGTTGAAACTCTTGGTAAAAGCAGGAAGTAGGTGACACAGACAGACTGACAAACAGACAGACACAAATAGAAAAAGAGGAAGGGGTGGTTGCTTACTTCTTTCTATGAAAGGAACTTCTACCATCTCCACCCCTACTGTTATCCATCCACCACTCCTTTTTCTTTTCTTTTTTTTTTCTTTTCTTTTCTGTCTTTTAATTATAGCTGAGTTGTACTTGTAGCTTTCCAAGAATATATTAGAACCTTATTTGTGTGTCTCACTCTATATTGGGTTAGAAGAACTATTAGCCTTCTTTTTATCCTTCTCTCTTTCTCTTTTTTTCTCTTTTCTCTTCCTATTCTTTCTCTCTCTTTCTTTAGATTTTTCTCTCCCTCCTCTCATTTCTTTTTTTTAACTTTCCCTCTTTTTCATTCTCTTTAGCTTTTTCTCTCCTTTCTCTCTTTTAACTTTCTCTCTTTTTCTCACTTTCTCTTTCTTTCCTCTCACTTTTCCACCACCCATTCTTTCTTCTTTTTCTGTTTATTTTCTCACTTTTTTCTTTCTATTCACTCTTTTCTCCTTGATCTTTTGCTCTAGTTTTCTCTTTTTTTTCTCTCCCACCTTTCTTTCTTTCTTTCTTTCTTTCTTTCTTTCTTTCTTTCTTTCCCTACTGTTTTTTGTCTTCTTTCCTTTAATCATCGTATATGCTAGAACAATGCATATTATTTTCTCTCAGTATTTACTGACCAAATTGTTCATCTCTTTGACCATGTGGATCAGGCCATTCAACCAATAGCCACTTTCATCTTACCAAAAGCAAACAAAACATTTTTCTTTCCTTCTTCACTTTCAGTCAGGAGGGGGGGGTCTTATTTTTTTTCTTTCTTTTTTTTTTGCCTCTCTGGCAATTTCATTTCAATATTTTTGGCACAATTTTGACTGCTTTGCATTTCTTTTACTGGTAAAATGTTTTTTTGTTTTTTTTTTTGCATCTCTCCTTTCCTTTCTTTCATTTTGCATCTCTCCTTTCTTTTTCATTTCTTTCCTTCCCTTTTTCTCATCAACTCACTTTCCATCCCTACTTTTTCACAATCTCTTTCTCTCTCTCTCTTCTTGTTTCTCTTTCCTTTCCTACTTTGCCAACCTCTCTTTGCTTCCATTCATCTTCTTCTTCATCTGTTTTGCTACCTTCTTTTTTATTTTTTTCATTTCTCTTTTTTTTCCTTCTTTTTACATTTCTTTTTTTTCTTCTTTTCCATTTCTTTTCCTCCCTTATTTTTTCCTCCATCTCTCATTTTGTTCATTTTTTTTTTTTTTTTACTTCATTTCTCCTTTCATGCCCTCTTTTTCTTTCATCTCTCTTTTCATTCCTTTCTTTTCTCATCTTTTTCTCTCCTTCCTTTCTTTGCATCCACTCGCTTTATAGCCAAGTGGTCAGTTCATGGTCGTTCTCATCTGTGTTAACTGAGCAAGTAAGCCTATTGGTGCCTGTATTTATAAACCAATAAAATCTACACACTCATTTACACTTGGATACCCAAACAAATTCTTTAAATACATGCACTAATTCACACACCCACACACATGTGCTAATTCATATGCACACTCATCAGCAAAACAACCCTTACCCACATACAGGGTCAAAGTACGACAGTACTTGCATACTGACACCTCACAAGTATCATATGTCGTATGGAAAATAAACATTTAAATATTTTCATATTCAAATATTGTCTTTGATTAATCTTCATCTTTAATTTATAAACTTAAAGTGTCTTTTTTTTATTTTCTTTTTTCTACCTCTTTCTTGTGCATTCATTTTTTCTTTTTCATTCATATTTGTTTATTCAGCTCTTTTTCCCCACGTTTTTTCTTTTTCTTTCATTTTTTTTTTCTCCTTTTCACTCACTTTTTTTCTTTCTATTTTCTCGTTTTCTTGTTTCTAAATCACTTTTATTGACCTATTAGGTTTTTTTTTTTTTTTTTTTTTTTTTTTGACCATTCCTTTTATGATGTTTCCCAGAATGGAGGTAGTCAAAATGTCTGACCCATTCTTGCTCTTTCTTCCTGAGCCAAGGGCAAAAAACGGGTGTGTGTGTGTGTGAGGGGGGGGAGCACTGAAAGGATGAAGTATTCACATCAGCTTATGTAAGATGGCAAACCAGCTTCCCTTTTTAATAGCTGTCAGCCATAACAGCCGATAGGGCAGCAGACACACAAACGGGCAGACAAATGGATAGACAGACTGACTGACTGACTGATGCTTAGCCAATCACATGGCCACTTACATAAGCAAAATATTTCAATGGACCCATGCTAAATTTCATACTTCTGTTTTTCACTCTCTTTCTTTTCCATTCTCTTTCCCTCACATTTGCGTGCACACACACACACACACACACACACACACAATATAATTCTTAATATTTTTATTTGTTTACTTTTCCCTTTTCATTTTATCTGGCTTTTTCCTTTTCTTTTTCTGTTCCTTTTCTCTTTCTCTCTGTTTTTTCTCTCATCTTCTCTTCTTTCTTACTCACATTTTCATCTTTCTGTTTCTTTTTTTTTCTCTTTCCACTCTCGTTCTTATATTGCTTCTCTTTCTCTTTATTTCTTTCATCATTTTTCTGCTACTCTCCCACTCTCTATTGAATAATCACTCTCTCTCTCTCTCATTATATAAATTTATTTTCCTTTCTCTCTCTCTCTCTCATTCACTTTTTCTCAATTTTTTTTTTTTTAAATCTGTGGATGTACAGATAGTGTAAAAGATAACTGCTCAGAATGACAATTCAGAGAGCCGAGTTCAAAGTTTGATCACCGAAGTTAAGCAGCACCAAGCCCAGTCAGTACTTAAATGGGTGACCACTCTGGAACACTGGGTACTGTAAACAACAATCCAAAATATGTTTTGGCTTTAAATAACCCACAAAGGGTTGATAAACTGTAAAAAAAACAATCAATTTATCAGTCTTTATAAGCCTCATTCTCCATATATTTAGTTGGCATGATTATATTCTCCTCTTTCCATCTTTTTTAAAGAAATGAGACATTTTTAAAATTTTATATTTAAATTTTGTAATTGTGTCCTTTATCAAGAATAGAGTTCTAAACACGAAATTGGCAGCTAGGTGTCATAATTTTACAATTGAAATTGCGAGATATAACTGTAAGTTCTATATTAACAGTTTCTTCTCTCGCACTTCTCGATTGTGGAACTCTCTTCCAGCTTCTTGCTTTCCAGTCAACTTTGATCTTCAAAAATTTAAATGCAATATCAATTGTTATCTTCTGTTTCCTTAATTTCTGTTCTTTTATTATCCCACCCTCCTTAATAATTTTTTTTTTCTTTCATATTCTTTCACACTCAGTAAACTCTTACATCTTAGTGGATATATATCTTCCACCTATTGTTTCTTTGTTTTAAAATCATAACATTACTGTTGGGGTTATCTGTGCTCTTTCTCAGGTAGAAACTCATATCCACCAACCCCCAATGCAAAAAGAAAAGCAAGTTAATTATTAACATTAAAAATTTAAGGATTCGTAGCCACCAGTGGCATAATCTAAAAAGCACATTTCATTATTAATGACAACTTATCGTCATATCACTAAAGTATTCACTGTGCTTGTAAAATACAATTTTGTTTTAATTGGTTGCTTTGGCATCATCAAAACAATTTTCATATGAGAAAAAACACATGATTAAGGAGAGAGGATAAAAGAACAGGAATTAAGAAAACAGAAGATAACGATTGACATTGCATTTAAATTTTTGAAGATTAATCTTGCCAGAAGAGAGTTTGACAAGCAAGAAGTGCAAGAGAAGAAACTGTTAGCACAGAACTCCATTACATGTAGCCATTCCAACTGTAAAATTATGTGACATTGCTACCAATCTAGCACTGCGCTTAAATTCATAAAGTCTAGGTACTATAGGGGAAAGTTCATCAGAACAATTACTATGAAGACATTTATAGATAAGGGAAATGATTATGGTGGTGGGAAAGTGACTGAAGCCAAGATGCCAAGTTAAGACCAATAACATTGCAGATTCTTCTTGGATTTTATCAAAACTCTCTAAATACATACTAGAAACACCAGACCAGATATAGCAGCAATATTCAATGCATGGGCAAATGGTAGACTTATAAATCTTGTAAGATAGATTCTGTTGAGAAAAATTTATTTATTAAGATTACCTAAACCCCCCTCCCCCCCCATTAATAGAAATACTAAAACTTTATTTTATTGTTCTTCATTCTGCAAAGAATGCAAAGCCTTTGGTTTATAATATTTTTTTTAACAATGTAGCAATTAAATTGTTTTTTAAGAGAAATCTTTTGTCAAAAAAAAATAAAAAATAACAAAACATATATATATATATACACACACACACACACACAGTCCTTCGCAAGCAATTCTAGTTGGTTTTATTGAGGTCTCATGGTATAAATTTATAGTTTTCAAGAATATAGATATGATGTCATTTGCATCAAGTTATATGAATGGTGTTGTGAGTCAGCTGTTGTTCAATGAACATGACAACGATGATGATCATGATGATCATGATGATCAGTGGAATGTCGGTTGGGATGGTGATGTTGGAAGTAAACCAACTAAATTAATGAAGATGTGACTAAGGACTCCAAATAAATGACTACTGAATTCAAGGATATATATATATATATATATATATATATATATATATATATATATATATATATATATACATGTACGTGACCATAGTACAAAATGTCTGTTTCACTATAAGCGGTTGTGCGTCAGCGGTTGTGATGGAAATCGCTTATTTATTGACTAGGCATACTTTTTACACATTTTTATTTTATTTTACTTATTATTGCAAGCGCGTTTGTTGCAACATATACTTTTAAATGCATGTCTGTGTTCAAGCTTGTAGATATGTGCGTGTTTTTTTTACTGATTATATGCATTGATAAGAATATATTGTTTGCTTCCTCTTATTTAAGCATATCAGCTTATGCAACTTTAATAGTGTGTCAGTGTTAAATGCATAAACTTATATAGGTCTTTCAAAGCTATAGTTGGATCTTTAACATCATGACAAGTAAGCCCTGCTCCACCAAAACATTGTCTCTCTCTCTATCTATCTATATATATATATATATATATATATGCCATTAGCCAAAAGTCGAAACTAAAAAGGAATCTAAATGGAATAATAATTAAAATTTGAAATATTAATCTACAAACCCAGTGTAAATACAGAATTTTATTTTTTTAATTTATTATTTTTTTGTTCAAATTCAATATATATATATATATATATATATATATATATATATATATATATAATGAGAGAAAGAGAGAAATCTAAATGAAATAATAAAAAAAAACGAAAGAATATTAATCTACAAAAGTGTCTGAAGATTTTAATTTTTTTATTTTTTTATTGTTCTAAAATATATATTATAAATATATATATATATATATATATATATATATATATATATGAATATGAAAGAGAGAGAATTTTCTTTCTCAATGCATTTCATCCTCTGGTGGATTTTATCAATGTAAATGTCCATCATAAATAAATTTGCTAAACTCCATCACAGAACAAAACGCGTTGGTAAAGAAAAGTTATCCGTTTGTCTTTATTCATATTATCTTTTTACAGATATATTTTTATTTATATCAGAATTTTCACAAATACACACGTGTGTGTGTGCAAAAGTAAGATCTTTCAAAACTATATATTTACAATTTAGTTAAATCTTTTTAAGTAAGCCCTCCCAAAAATATTTTCCAACATAGTGTGTTTATATTTATATATATATATATATATATATATATATATATATATATATATATTAATGCCATCACAAAATACAAAGAATAAAGAAAAGAAAAGGGAAAAAGATTAATTAATTTGTATTATTCTAAGTACCACGAAAATGGATGCTTTTTTTCAGAAACGAGAGCAAAATAGAAAACGCTACCCTGCATTAAAATATTTGCCAAAAATCGGAGAATTATCCGATTCAAACAAAATTGTCAGTACTTATTCATTAATAAATGAATATTTTACTGAAGAAGTTATTTTATTAGAAAAATATTTGTCGGGTATGTTCTATTCCCCTTTTTCGATATTTTGTTTGTACTTTCAATTTGGGTTCGTCCATTTTTTTACAATTATAAAGAAAACTCCGGGATGATATTATTTCAGTAAAAAAAAATATGCAATATCAAGTGTACCGTATTTTACTAAAAAATAATTCAATAAAACTCAAAAAGTAATTTCTTTTTTTTTTTGTTTTTCTTTAGAATTGATGCATACATAATTTAATAAAAGTAAAACACGTTATTTTCTTTCAGAAATTACTTCAGGAATTAAACGTAAATTGTTCTTTTCGGTTCTTATTATTTTAAAAACAAATATTTGTCTTATTTTACCTACGTAATTTTTTCCCTTCGCCACCAAATTTTTCAGAATTACGACGACACTATTTCATTCACATAAAAAATACTTTACTATAATTTTTCTAAATTTGACTCTTAGAATAAATGTTGTTTTTTTTCTTAAACGTAAATTACAATTACGCTATATTTTTGTTTCAGTAATGCCTTGATGCCTTCAAATTTATTCATTATATTATAAAAGCATATAGAACAAAAAAATTATATTCTTAAACTATTGGTTAAGGTTAATGAAAATTTATTTATAAACAAATAACAAATTCTCGATTATTGCACTGCTGGTCTTCCGTATTTAGGTTTTATTTCTACTTTTTCGCGTACTTTTTTGGACAGGGGTAGAATTAAGCTGTTTTTATCTTATCCTTTGACCTCAAAAGCTACCGGGCGTAAATAAAACATTAATTTAATTTTGTTTTAAGCTAAACGAAGCATTAGTTTTAGAAAATACAATTAATTAATCCTTAAATTTACTAATAGACATTGAAATATATTTGTAGGACCAATATTGGATTTTAAAGAGATTTTTAAATTTATTGTTTATATTTTTTTATATACAATGGCGATTCGATGAGTGACGAAAAAATGTCATGGTTTTAAAATACCTAAAATTATTATACCTATTTACAGACGGATTTTTTTTCTTTTAATTCGAATTAGCTTTAGACCGTTATCTTTCAAATAGAATCGAAATTTAAGTTCAAAAAAAGCATTTAAAATGTGTTTTGCGTTTTTATTGTTTTGTTATTATTTTTTTTTTTTTTTTTTTTTTTGTTTAAATAGTCTGTTTGGTACCCATATTATTTGACCTTATTCAGCTATTGGTCACTCCTGTGAAGATCGAACCTGCTAACAATGGTTTACATTTTACAACAACACATCCAAGAGAGACTGGCTTAATAAGTACAATTGGAGGCAGATAAATTGTTCATAATGCCACAATGAGTATGTCTATCTATGTAAATGTGTGTATATAATTAACTAGCTTAAAAACCGCCCTATCAGCGGCATTTAAGCTAGCTCCTGCGGAGGATTCTTGACTGGACCTTCATCACAATAGGTAAGAGTAGATGCGATAGGCAACAATTAACTACAGAAGAACTCAAAACTGATCGCTGCATTTAAGTATTGCATTAATATTTAAGCTTTCCTTTTAAAAGTTCAATGATAATTCTTCTGCCGCCACTTAAAGACAATTTGATGTACGTAGGTCCTTACTTTCTGTACAAACAAATATTTTTATTTCATTGTGACTTTCCCTGGATTTCGCAATTAATTTCGATTATTCCAAAATTTATTTCCACGTTATAAAAATTATTTTCGTACAAAAAATTAATCGCAAAAAATCACGTAAAAAGTCGCCGAAAGCAATCACAGTAATGAAAACTTGGGAATCCAAAATTTCGAGACTGCGGGTCCAAGTCCGGTTCAGACTATTTTTAATTTGCTCACGGAGTCGGTCTGATTCCAAAATGGTATGTTGGGCTACGGCCTCTAGGGGTAAAGTTGAAAACGTGTCTGTAACACAGTGACATTTGCATTTAGTGTGTGTATACGGGGAGAGTCTTTACCTGACTAAATGACCAAACATCAGAATTTAGGGTGGAAGTATTCTTTATTTTCACCACCCGTTTGTACGTAAGGTGTGTTGTGTATACGTTGTGTGCGTGTGTGTGTGTTTGCCCGCGCGCCACTCTCGATGTTTTCAATATGTGTCTCATTCTACATGTATATCTATAAATACATTCTCGATTATGTGTCTATGTATCTATATTTCAGATGTGTGTGTGTGTGTGTCTGTCTGTTTGTTGTTTCTCGTCTGTTAGGTCAAGTGACCTGGTAACCTCTTTTTTGTTTATCAAGTTTACAATGCTGGAAGAAGAAGAAGAAAAAAAAGGCAACAGATAAATAAATAAAAAGAAAAACAAGAACTCTATTAAATAAAAAAATAAAAAAAGGCGGGGGAGAAAAATAACTAACAAACAGACGTGAGGGTGGTGGGAAATCCGGCAAGAGAAAAGAGGGTGTGAAAAATAGAATTTAGGGATGGTAGTTGGTAGTGAGGATTCATAGGCAGTAGGGTGGGGTGTTGAAGTGTGGGTGTGGCGGTGGTGATGGTTTTTAGTCTGAAAATCAAATGAAAGGAAATTGTGTTGGGTATTGGGTGTGGGGAAGTAGATTCTCCACCACAAATCATTCTTTCATTTGAGAATAGTGCTGGTAAGACTAGAACATAAAGTAACCAAAACAGTATTAAATTGAGAACACTGGAAGAAGAGATTTATTTGCATAAGTCAAAATGCCTTTGATCTCCTCATCTTTCTTTCTTTATTTTCTTTCTTTCTTTCGTCCTGTTCTTTTATTTTCTCTCTGTTTCTTGACCTTTATTTCTCTCTCTCTCTCTCTCTCTTTCTTTATTTCTTTTTGTCCATTCTTTCTCTCTCCCCCTGTCCCTTTCTCTTTTTCGTCCTTTCTTTCTCTCTCCTGTTTTGTCTTTTTCTTTCAACAGACAAAGAATTGTGGTAGTATAAACTTTATATTTTTATTACTTATTGTATCAATTTACAGTTGAGTGGGCTAGATGTAGCCATAAGTTCTATGCTAACATATTAACATATGCTAACCATAAGTTCTATGCTAACAGTTTCTTCTCTCACACTTCTCAATTGTGGAACTCCCTACTGGCTCCATGCATTCCAGCCAACTTTAATCTGCAAAAATTTAAATGCAATGTCAATGGCTATCTACTGTCCACCTGATTATTCTTTTCTCTTTCTGCTCATTATTAATGTTTCTGTTCCTGATTCTTCCACACCCTGTAACAACTTGTGTCTTAGTGGCTTTACTCAATTGCAGGGGGTGATATCAATTAAGAATACTTTAATTTTTAAGTTTTAAATGAACAAAACGATGAAGGTAGTGAAGGAGTTTAATTGTTTTTTTTTTGTTTTTTTTTTTCAGTAAAATTTCCTTACTTAATCCTTATTTCATCATTCTGTCATATTTTAATTTAATCCATATTTTCAACTCATATATGGTTGCGCATTGCATTCTTTTATATCTGACTATTTTTATTATTTTGCCTTTACTTTTTAAAATTTTTCAGCTGAAAAGAAGGCAAGTGACTATGATACTCAGAATCACTTTTATCCATCTGACCTCCAACAGCAGCATCAGCAGCACCAGCAACACATGGAAGTTGATGACATTAGTGTAGAAGGAAAGTAAGTATTTACTTTTCTTTGTTTTCTTCAATGTGTTCCTTATAGGACATGTGTAATGTTTAAGAATGATAGTAACATTTGAAAATGGGAGAAACGGGGGGGGGAATCTTTTTTTTTTTTTTTTTTTTTTTTTTTTTTTTTTTTTTTTTTTTGCAGGGCAGGGGGTACCTATTCTGTCAGTCAGTTAAAAGCCATACATTTTAGATTCTCTTTCATCTCATTTCTTTCATGACTGACTAAGCAGAAGTAGGTTGCCATTTCTTTCTGCAGTAGGCTAGTAGCCAACCAAGGCTAAAGAACCCAGACTATCCTGCTATTCAACCCATAGCTGGAGGGAGAAGAAATGAATTCATATCTTTCCCAATGGTATTTATCTACCCTATACATTCTCATATTATGGACACGTGGCCAAGTAGTTAGAATATTTGCATTCTGACCTTGAGACGCAGGTTCAAATCTCACCATGGTCGATTTGTCAGGAAGGAGACTTCCTGATGTTATCAGAATGGATCGAGATCAATCCCAGCGTGCGGTACCTTTGGAAAGTGCCTGGAAACCACGCCACGGGTTGACCTAAGCCTTGTGAGTGAAACAGGGTAGACGGAACTCTTGGGGGCTGCCGATAATTGTGCTAGCATGAAGTCACAAGTCATTGTGGCCAAGAGCTTGAGCGTACTGGCCGTGTTCAAATTATTGATCACTCTAGATAGCATGCTCTTTTCCAGAAACTGTAATTAAAGTCTGCTCAGCATAGTTGCAGTATAAACCACAGGTGGACTCTGTGGGTGTTGAACAAACACAAATGTGCCTGAGCAAGCATCTGTAACAGGGATTGGCTAGCTGCCCTAGTAGACAGGTATCCTTGAATACTAGTGGCTAGCTATACATTCTCATATTATGGAGGCATGGAAGAGTAATGGAATGCAGCTCAGATTAAGGAATCCAAAAGCTGAGTTGAAATTCCACTAGAGTTCATTACATTCACTTATGTGCTAATAAACTTGAGAAAGTTATAAATCCATCTCTTGTCCCCCCAGCTATGGGTAAATAGCAAGACAGACTGGGTTCTATAGCCTTGGGTAGCAACCAGTCTAGGAGAAGGAAAGCTCTGAATTCAAACCAGTCTGGAAAATCAGGAAGGAGGGACCTGAAAGCAGTTAATAACTCAATACTTTCTGGTATTATCTGGCATACCCTGCAGCCTGATTTATTCCCCACCCCCAGACATCACACACTCGTGTGCTCTGAGATTGTACGAGCAGGAAGAGAAGGTTACTGTGGCTCAGCAAAAAACTTTTGCAACCATACCAACCTCTGCAAGGCACAGTGAGGTTGGGTTTTTTTCGATTCTCAATGGACTCCACTTTTTTTTTTTTTTGTAACATCTCAAACTCTGAAATATATCATATATATATATATATATATATATATATATATATATATATATATATATATATATTTCTTACTTCCTCTATCCCCTCCCTTAAAACAATTTCATTCAGTAACTTTCTATCTTGGTGATTCTTGAGCCTTGTATTTGGGAACTAACAAAATAGATTTTTAAAAAAAACTCATTTTAAATATGATTCGAGAAACCAACTAATTTTGTTTTTGTCTTTTTATTATTCTTTTGCAGTTCGCTTAATAATGTTGACTCACTTTGTGCCCCTAACCCAATGGACAGTTGCCCAATGAGAGGCAATGTAGATTCCAGTCTGCTGACCACACAGAAACAAGTTCTGAAAAACAGTAACCAGTCATCAGGAGTTGTTTTTTTTTTTTTACAGACGCCTTACGGCCTCTTTCTTCGAGACGAATCTCGATACAATTTCATACCAGACCAGCCTCGGCCAAGATGCCACACCTTAGATCGGGACACGGTACCACGCTCCAAGTTGCACCGTGTAGATGACGGCACAATGAGCCGACGGAGGACTTACACCCTTGATTTTATTGAATATAATTTTGATAAAAGTCGTTAGCAAGCTCAGCGATCGGTTGGAAAAGCGAGCAGCGATCCGCGGGGATAGTAAGCCACCTTCCATCTCCAACAGTATTAAAAAATGATAGCAGTCCGATTAAAAGAGAACCAGCAGCCTACATATTTGAACAACAGAGACTTTGTGCCGATTGCAACAGTCGAATCAAGCACAAACAGTTCTCGTGGCAGCCCAATGCCAGATCGCGACCTACACATCCCATACAGTTCGTCGCCAAGTTCTCCCCACCCAAGGCCCCGTTCAGATTCGGCCGGTACTGATGACCTCGCACCTCGCATGGATTACGCCCCCAGGCCTCGCTGCTACAGTTTTCACGATGGCCGAGCATCGCGACCAGCTAATGTCCAGCATTTGCCAGATGTTGATCGTATCTCGGTGGACAATTCACAGACCCTCCTAGTGCCTGATATGAGACGAAGGAGTGTTGGAGCCTCCTATGGTCTCCACACTAGGAAGGCATCTTTGCTTATTGATATTCACCCATCTGACCTGTCCAGAACAGCCAACCAGTTACTAAAGTCTGAAGAAACGCGTACACCTTGTACTGAATTACCAGAATCATCGGTAAGTTTACGATTCATTTTTCTGAATTAAGAAAAAAAAAGAAATTTTCCAACAGTTTCTCTTCATCTTGTTCTGCCTTATTTTGCTATTTATTCTGCCTTATTTTGCTATTTATTCTGCCTTATTTTGCTATTTATTCTGCCTTATTTTGCTATTTATTCTTCCTTATTTTGCTATTTATTCTGCCTTATTCTGGTAAAGTGTAACATTTTAAGAGCCAATATAAAGCTTTTCATGTCATGCTATTGCTAGAGATAAGAAAAAAAAGCAAAAATAAAATATTTAAATTATAAAGATTCTAAAAAATATTTTAAGATTCTTACTAATTTTTAAATTAAAAAAAAATTTTAGTATTTTTAAAAAATGTTAAAATTAAAAAACTATTTAGAAAAATATTTAAAATTAAACCCTGTCATGCATTTTCAGTTTTAGAGTAAATTTATTTACAAAAATCAAATCATGCAGAAATCATTTAAAAAACTATTTTGCAATAATTACAACCACTACACAAAATCTGATATTTCTCATGAGGTCTAATGTGATATGCATCCTGGATATGATGATAAACTACATCCAAGTCCTGGATAAGACATTTAAATTACATCCAACAGCAAGGCCTCTGATCTGATTTAATTGCTGGTGTTCCCAGGTTCACCCTGACCTGAGGTGGTAGTACCTGTTAGGGTCACAGCTATGGGCAAATAGTTAACTCCCCCACCAAACTGGGGTCAAAATACTATGAAAGTGTAAAAATAGGTTTTAATGCCATCAATACTTTTTTGTAAAAAATTATTACTAGCAATGAATTTTTGAAGGAAAAATTATTACCAGCAATATGCTTTTGGCAAAAAAAAAATATTACCCATAATACATTTTTGAAGGAAAAAAATATTACAAGCAATAAAAATCTTGTCAGCATTAAATATCCCATTGAGGTTGATATGCTGTAAAGCAAAACAAACCAAACCAAATTAATATAAGCTGCTTCAAAGTGCAATTTCTAAAACATTAATGCAGTTGTAAAATCATGCATTGTGGTTTACAGGTTAACAATATATAAATAAAAGAAAAAGTATAAAATAAATAAAAACAAAATTTGGTGATGATGAAATGATATAGAATTTGAAATATAAATAATTTTATTCAGTAATTTAATAAATTATTACAATAATTGTCAGCTTAAATCATTACAATAATTGAGACCCCATATTCTTAAAAGCATATTTAAAAAAAAAAAAAAATATTCCAAACATGTCTGTCATATGGTTTACAGCATTTAGCAGTATTTGATTTAGTTTCTTTTTTAAAATAATGATACAATTTACTTAAAAACATATTTTAATGTTCTTTTCTCACTTGCATGATGACTTATGTATGTCGAAAGCTTGGGATAACACAATATGGGTTCTGGCCAATTTATCCACACACAACTACATTTATGAAAGATTATTCATATGTTGAAAAAAAAGTTTTTCAATGTCATGGAAGCAGCTATTGCCCCCTTCTCTATCTCACAAACATTAACTGTGATATATCTTTTCCTTATGTCTTTCCTCACAATCAAAATGGAATGGTCCATTTTTTATATGAGGTAATGGCATGGTGAGAAATAAGTAATTACTCACATCAAGACTTGCTTTAATAGCTTTATTTCTAGTAACACATATCCAGCTACTACATACCCCAGAGAGAAGCTAGCCAAACAAAAAGTTAATGGATTTACAGGCAAGTTATTACATGGCATAATATACGAGCTAACCTACTAACTCAAGGAGGAACCTGGAAAACTATGAAATGTTTATTGCTTTAATTCTATTTTTAATGTTCATTGATTTTTAACACTTTTTATCTTTCATGTTTGTTTATTGCTTTTGTTTTTCAGAGATATTTGCTAACAGAAAACTCAGCCAATTGCTACAACCCAGGAGTAAAAATTGATCCAACTAGAACAGACCTTGAGCATTTTGCCTATTACGAACCCCGAACAGCCCCACATGCATTTGTCACAAAACCCGATTTTCAAATCAGTGAGGAACTCCCGCTGCCTGACCCAATTGTTGCACCGCTGAGAAATCAACAACCGGTCTCTGACTATCCAAGTGTGTTGTCCACGTCAACTCCCAATTCCCATTTATCGTCACCGTCATCATCGTCATCATCATCGTCGTTGTCAACTTCCTCTTCCTCTTCGCTTTCCTACTCCACGACAACAACTGCCACCACCATCACCACTACCACGGCCAACAACAACCACAACAACAACAACAACCACAGTGGCCCCTCAAACGGCAGCCCCTTGCCAACAATTGCCAAAACCGTGGACCCTCCTGAACAGGAGATTTTCCACAAGAAGTTTGACAAACTGCGTAAGCATGTGCCACATTCCAACAAAGCTGGTGCCGTAGCCAGCAATAGTAACACTGCCGCCGCCGCCACCACCACCACCACCACTAACAACAGCAACAGTAGTAGTAGCAGTAGTAGTAGTAGTTGTAACAGCAGTAATAATAATAATAATAATACTAATAATACTACTACTACTAATAATAATAGTAATAATAGTCCTGGCAGTATTACAAATCCTTACTGTAGATCTCTGACATCACAAACGGGCAGTCCGAATCCAGTTCAACAACAGCAATCATTTGCACAGTCGCAGTGTCAACAGCAACCACAAACCATATTGCAGCATCTGCAACAGTCTGAACAACGCAGTACAACGCTTCTCATTACAGAATCCGGTGACATCAAAAAAGAAAATAGTAATCCAACAAATTTGTTTAATGGTAACCATGGTACCAACAGCACAAACAAGTCCAAATTATCAGCCGGTGAAGCCCACCCCCAACTACTAGCCCATCTCCAGGCACCCAATCCAAGCAGCCAGACAACACCTCTTCATATGATGCTCCATCCGTATTCATTGTTAGCACCTGGCGGCAGCCCTGTTAATATCGGGGGTCACAGCCCTAGTCCATCCTCAAGTAATGCACAAGGCCTGGCTGGCCTTCACTCCGAACCGATAACATCATCAGTGATATCAGGACATTCTAATTACCGAAACAACATTCAGAATGTCGTAAATGGTACTATCTATTCTCAGTCTGGTCCACATCTAGTGGCATCCTTGGAAGAACAAAAGCGATTAGCCAATGAAAGCCCAAACAATCGATATCAAGTACATGCAGCAGCCGTGTCACACCTTAAAGACAAAATTCTCAAACGCATGGACAGCATTGAAAACTTAAGCAAAGAATGTGGTGGTGGAAGCAATGGTGAACTGCCTATTGTAACTCAGGCTACAAACTGTGGGAGTGTCATTGTACTTAACAGTGCAAGTCCAAACGAAATCAAGACTTCTTACCCTACAAACGTGACTGGTAATTCCCCGACAATGGTGGTCTCTAGTCAGATTGGTTCTTCCCCTCCAGCCAGAGTACCACCAGGAAATGGTGGCTGCAGCCCACAGCAGCCCCCACCACAACATTTACCCCAGCAGCAACAGCATTCCCAAGCTTCACCTCCAAATTTGGGTTACCCAGGAATGTTGCCTCCACGTTACCCACCGCAGTTTTTGCATGCCTACTCTTCACTGCCACATGTTGGGGGACATTTACTTCCTGGATATAGCCAGCAGTTGGCTTCTTTACCACAAATCTCTACTGTCAATCGCACATCAGTGATAACTTCAAGGTAAGTAAAAAAAAAAAAAAATACATCCTTTATTTGTATTTATATTTAAAAAGTCAGTTCAAATATTCAAATTAAAAAGTTCCAGGTTTCTTTTTTTTCATTATGTGTCCTAGAAGTTTAAACTATCTCTTTCTGACTCTAAGTATAAGCATCTTTTGTTCACATTTTTTAAAAAAAACTTCCTTGATACTCACATGCTTCTGTATGACAACAACCAGCATAAAGATACTCAATACAGACTCCAGAAACAAAATAAAAAAAAACATATCAAAAGAAAATATCAAGAAATATAAGAGTCAAGGCTTAATAGACTATACGATATTGAATCATCTATACGAGAACTGCTTCCAGGTTTTGAAAAAAATAAGACAGGAGGAAATAGTTTTATTCAGACTTCAAATAGGACTTACAAATCAGGCACACTCATATCTACTAAAAAAAATGAAACTTCCTTCCTTCCCATCATGCAACAGATGTCAAGTACAAGTGTCATGTCATTTGAATTTAAAAATACTTATACTATGATTTTGATAAGAAATGAATATGAGAGGAAAGCATTTAGCATGAGGTTTTCTTTAAAATTCGATATGTGCACTAGATTTCACTATCAGCTTCTTGAGCCACTCAGGAATTGTGGTATGGAAGACATAACTTCTTGTATTCACCCTTCAAGTTCTTCCAAAGTCTTGGTTTAGTTGACCAACACCCCCTGCAAAAAAAAAGTCACAGGATGTTAAGTCAGGACACCTTGCTGGCCACTCATATATAAAATAGGGAGTTACTTTTCAATCACCCTGTATACTCCTAAGATGCCATCATCTCAGTCAAATCCAAACAAAATATTATCAAGCTAAAAGTACAAAAGAACTATTTCTAAACACCAAAGCAAGCAATATCCTTAAAAGAAATTAAACTTTAAAAAGAACCCTTCAAATTTTATAAAGATCCTCACTAAGAAAACAATGCAAATTCCAATAACCAACTTGAATCAGAAAATGAATACAAATTTGTATTAGAAAGCATTATCTCTAATAATTGATTAAAAAGAAAAACTTTTTTTTTTTCTCCAACTAACTTGTACTTATCCCTGATCCACGTATAACATCAAGCTATACCCCAAATAACCACAATTCAAAACCTTTACCTGGCCTTAAATAACCCTATAGTTGTTGATGCGCTGTTAAGCAGAAATAAAACCAAACTGCCCATAGTGTTCTCAGCATCTTTCTGTAAAACTAAATCTCAGTTGCCTCCTGTCTTCTCTTCATCTCGGAAAAGATTGTCCAGCATTCACCATCATATAGGAGAATTGATATTGCATCACGGTTCACTTTTCTTTTTGTTATGAGCCTGGCAATACAAAATCTAAATGCAAACACTGGTCTTTAAAATTGTCTCCTAATTTGAAATGGGTAAAAATGTTTTTGTCAAACAGTTTTTCAAGTATTTCCTTTCTAGCAAAGATGTGTAATATTTAACGCCTCTGATTTTCGAAAATGTATAGTCCCCTGGCGCCTGCCTCCCATAACAACTGAGCTACAACTGCGAACTGCGACACACCACGTGTTATGCACCTTCACTGAGTTAGGAGAGTCGCGGGCGGGAGTGGGGTGGTGCATCAAAAGAAACAAGTTGTCAACTAGGAATTACAAGTACTCTAAAAAATTTGTAGTTAGCAAAACACTCCGTGTGACTAACATAGGGTTATGATCACATTATTATTTATGTGCCTTGTTCCTCCACAACATCCTGTGTTTTGTAGCTCTAAGCAACGTAAAAATTGGCACATCATCTTGAATGTAACAAAATCGTCTAAGATTAAATAATTCCTACTTAATAAATACGGAATTATCTTTCTTCAATTTCACGAAAACAACAAAAAAAAACTAACTACCGATTATTTTTAAATCGATTATGTCCCTTGGCATATAAGGGAAGTAACTCTATTTGCACTATTATCCTTCGAAGCAGAAATTCAGTTCTTCAGGTAATTTAATATAGATATAAATAGAATATGAGTGATGTATTTCAGATAAATGATATATACAGTATATATTTATTTAATACAAATTATTTGAGATAGATGGGCAAATTTAATACTCATTTGTATCTGCAAGTTATTGTTAGACGCGATGTAGTTTAAATTATATACGGTTTAATTATTTGTGGAGTTGCCTCCCTTTAACTCTTTTCATCTCCGAAGTTTATGGGAAATTTCTTTGATAGTTATTGATTTTACCGGTTTCACGTGAAATTTATATTTCAAATGAAAATTCTGCTTTAACTTAAGAAAACTATTTATTATTATTATTATTATTGTTATTGACTGGTAAAGCAGCCTGCCAAAAAGCGATAACATGGTAGAAATATGAAGCTCAGTAAAACCATCATGACACATTCTAAGTGTATCCCAACCAAATGCGTACGATATGGTGATAGGTTGTGTATAACCTTGCAGCTGGGGCTTCAGATCAGGTATTCCCGTCCGATCATGATGGTCTCCAAATGAGATTATTTCCAAGAATGTAGATGTGACACTCAATTCTCGTCGGCTGCATTATCCTTCAAACTCTCTCAACACACTTCCCTGATGCTCATACTCAACCACAGCTACTCCCATTCATGAACAGAGATCCACATTGTTGCATTGGCCCCTGTAGAACATGCCCAACTGATCCTGGTCAGGCAACTGATATGCAAAATCTGTGATAACAGAATATTTACAACAACAACACCCTGACCTTTGGCCTTTGACCTCAAAGATATTTTGTCGTTAATTAGTTTTCAGACTTAGTATAACTTTTATCAAAACTCAAATCAAATAGGCACAATGGAGTAATGGATAGCGGCTTGGATTGAGAAATCGCAGAGCCGAGTTCAAATTCCATTCGAATCCATTACATTCACTTACGTGCTAATACCCTTGGGAAAGGTATGAAACCTCTTCCTCTCCCTCCAGATATGGGTAAAATAGCAGGACAGACTAGGTTCTATAGCTTGGATGGCAACTGGTCTAGGAAAAGGACAACTCTGAATTCAAAATCTGCGGAGAGTCGTTTGGGGACCCTGTGACACATAGTGCACCAGGCCTCTTCAAAAAGTGTGGATGGTCCTGCACGAAACCTTCACCACTATAATCAAATCTCATGTGCTGTTGTCGGGCTGTCGGTTTCCTGGGAACTGATCTGCTTCACCCTCATACATTGAATTCGACGGGAGAGTCGACTATGTATATATATATATATATATATGTATGTATGTGTGTGTCTGTGTGTATATATGTGTGTGTGTGTATATATATATATGTATGTGTATATATATTGTATGTATGTATATATGTATGTGTATGTATATATATATATTGTGTTCATGCTTGTCTTCTTATATATATATATATATATATATATATCTTGTCTTCACATATATATATATATATAGAGAGAGAGAGAGAGAGATAGATAGATAGTGCATTCCAGCAATTCACAGTTTAAAAAGTTTTCAAAGTCTACCAAAAATTTTAATTCAAAATTACCAGCCTCTCATCATGACTAAATTTTCTATGTTTTATTTTTAATTTATTTTTTTTTCTATCATATTCTAAAAAATTATCTAAAATTATTTTATGCAAATTTTCTCCCCAGGACAGTACTTATTTTGTATGGGCATGGCTATTATTTTTACAAATAATTTTCTTTACTGGACAATTATTTTGTTCTAGGAAATAAAAAAATTCCAATATCTATGGCTACCAGATGGCATTTTTATTTGATACAAATGAATAAGCTAATAAAATAACCTTTATTTTTAAAATTATTGTAACTTTGGAAATTTCTTTTTTAATTAACTGATTCATTTGTTTTATTTATTTTTTTCAGCCTTGGAAAGCCCCCTGAACCTGTGGATGCCCCTCTTAACCTAACAGTGAAAAATGATAAAAACAACCTTGGCTTGGCTAACTTTTTAAACAGTCAATCTATCAGTGGTCTGCATCATAAGGAGTCTGCTTGAGGGAGCAGCTTATTAAAAATGGTCCTGTTTGTAGCAGGTTACACTGTCCAAATGTAAGCATTGCTTACTACTTCATCCAAAGACAACACATGGAAGGAAAGACAGTAAAAAAAAAAATTTGACAGAAAACCCAACACTAAATTCTAAGCCTGTGTGTAGGGTTTCAAAAAAAAAAAAAGAGAGAAAAATGCAACAAAAAAAAAAAAAAACTCTGGTCTCCTGGCTTTCCAGAGTGATGAGCTGAAATGAAAAAAGAAAGGTGACAAAGAGGGAAACAAAAAAGGATTCTATAATGATGACCATATTGGAAAAAAAAGAAAGGAAAAAAAAAACAGAAAAGCTCTTTGTTATTAGAAGTGCAAACATTTGAGGATGAAGATGGTAAAAAAAATGTTTTAGAAGCTGTCAATGAGCAATGGAATTGAAAAAGAATGGTGGCAAAAGAAATAAGGAAAGTACTTTCTGGAATTGACAGTGTTTGGTAATGAGTTTTTAAATAATGATTCTATTGTGGTTATTCAATATGGCTGACTGGTCTGTTAGATTAAATAAGCAAATCCGTATTGGAAAATATGATTAAAAAACATGTTTTCTCTACTGTGAAAGAATTTAAAAATATGGGAAAAGTGTAAGAAGAAAGGAAAGGTAAAAAAAATGAAGGAAGGAAATTGAAAATGTGGGGAAACAGTAAAGAAGGTAGGAAAAAAAATGAAGGAAGGAAAGAAAGAAAAGAGAATGAAAGAGTTATGAAAAAGAAATGAAAAAAATTGTCAAAATCAGAATTAGTTATTCAAATTCTGATAAATTTGAAGGAAATTTGTTTTTTGGTTTGTTTTGTTTTTTTTTTTAATTTTTAAAAAAAAATAATCTTAACTCCTGTAAACTTATGATATCAACGTTAACAGCTCTACAGAGAAAAACACTGCTTTTGCTTTAATTTAAATAAATAAAAAAGGAAAAACACACTCACACAAAAAAATAATATTTTCAGAGACAAGTCATATTGAAACAACAACAACAATGTTCTTGAAATGAAGTGGGTCAAAATTTAACATCTTCATAACTGTCTTTTATTTATTCTTTTTTTACATGTCGGTTGGAGTCTAACAATTTGCCAGCTATTGGTTGTCATCATGAGCTGTATCTAGGTTACTATTACAACCTGGCAGTGCCCATTTTCACCCAATTTTTTTTTTTTTTTTTTTTTTCTCACATTTGTGCTATTAGGCTGCAGTTTGCCTTTGCCTGCTGCCAGGTGGGTGCTATCCCTAGCTTAAGAGTCCCTAATTTTGTAATCAGGTTTTCTTCTCCTCAGTGAATTGCAATCAATAAGTGGCACAAGAAATTAAATTGTGAACTTCATAGCCAACAGTTAAATTGTGTTATGCTCTCAAGTTCAAACACCTTTCTTTTTTTTCTGTTTTTTTTTTTTTTTTTTTTTTTTTTTTTTTAAACAGCTTTTTCCATATTTGGTCCCCTGAAAATGTTTTACATTATCTAATTTGCTCCTGGTTGTTTGTTTGTTTATTTATTTATTTATTGTTGTTGGATACCTCCCCCATCCTAACACATATACACTCACACAATCACTCATATACAGACCTACATCTCTTTAACTTAACCTTGCACTGAAATACTTCACTATAAGAATTTGGCTCAATCTAAAAGTGAAGTAGGGATTTTAAGAAAAGAAAAACCAAAAAAAAAGATGCATTGTTGTTGTCTGTTTGTTTTTTTTTTTTTTTTTTTTTTTTTTTTTTTTTCACAACAAATCTGGAATAAGACAGATAAAATTTGGGAGCTTCCAGTAAAGATTTTTGCGAAAAAGACTTTTGCCAAGCTCTAAAGAACAACATTTGTAATCGAGCTCTTAAAAAGAAGAGACTATTGCTTCACAAAAAGAAATATTTTGAATCTGAAGTTGAAAACTAAAAGAGAAAATTTTAGTGTATGTTTTACATACATCTGATCTGCTGTAATAGGTCCCTGGAGAGAGTTTCAGTGACCTGCCAACAGTGTTAAATGTTTATCATAAGGTGCTTCAAGGGACATTTTGTTGTCTAGCAGTGCCCACCTATTTTCCAAGCCTTTAGCTAACTTGCATTTTTCAAAAGCAAATTGCAGCAGTGGCTTGCTATTGCCTATTGCTGGTGCTATCCAAGACTAAAGCATGCCCCAACCCAGTTCTTGAAAAAAAAAAAAAATTTTTTTTTTTTTTTTTTTTTTTGGTGAGTTAATTAACAAACCTCACCTACCCAGCATTTTGTCTTGTGGTATCCAATCCGGTGCTCTTTCCATTGTTAAAAAATAAATTAAAGACGTAGAAATAATGGGAAAAAAAAATCTTCACCTTCTCACTGCCACAAAAGATGAGAATAAAACAACGATAAAAAAAAAAAAAAAAAAAAATAATAATATTTGGGTGGGTGGTGGGTAAAACTCAAATGAAGGGATAATTTTTTTTCATATCATTACATATTTAATACTCTCATAAACAACCTTTTTTTTTTTTTCTTTTTAAATAATATGTGTGAATTTGATCTTCCCTTCGAAATAAAAAAAAAAAAATATTCAGTCAATCTCAATTCAAAGTTTTTAAATGAAGTTTTAAAACAACAAAAATATCTTTAAAAATGACGACTGGAGACTTGATCCGTCTTAAAATACCATTCTCCCTGACATCACTCACTCGAAGTGTTTAAGATGAGTGTGAATTGAGATCCTGCACACACTAATTTAAGCCCTTTGTGTTGGTTGTTACCCATAAAGAGGCAATTGTGTTACAAAATATTTATGTCCCTTCATCTGCAAAATGTCATACATTAAATGTACATGTAATAGAACATACAAAATATATATATATATATATATATATATATATATATATATATATAAAAATTGTTTTGTTTGTATGAATAACTAAACAATTTTTCCACCAAGACATGCATGTCTTTTCTAGGTATAAAAGTCGATGTGCATTTGTAGAACCCTGTGTATGTCAAGTCATAGTTAGCATGAATATGCATTCTGGCAGACGTGGATGTGTTTTATGAAAACACTTATATTTGTAGATACCTATGCATATATCATTTGTAGATTTAATTTTATATATATATATATATATATATATATATATATACATACACACTGTATATACTTTTGAATAAGCCAACTTCATGCATAGTGCGATCCATGATTTTTAACAACTCCAGAAAAAAATGAACCTATGTATAGTGCAACTGGTCACTGAAAATGTATATTTAACGTCTTCAAAAGAAAATTACCTGTGTATAGTTTGACCTACTAATTTTTCCATAAAAAAAACTGATCATAAAAACTTGCACTATACTCAAGTATATAGTGTGTGTGTGTGTGTATGTATGTGTATATATATATATATATATATATATATATATATATATATATATGTATTTATATGTATGTATATATATTATATATATATATATATATACATATATGTATTAATATGTATGTATGTATATATATATATATATATATATATATATATATATATATATATATATATATATATATATTGCATATAATTAAAGCAAGCTGTGGTTAGTTTCATTGAATGCAATGACTTTTCTTGTTATAAAGCTTAAAGTCTACTTGTTGAGGATTTTTCTTTCTATAAGTACAGTGTATACATATGTATTTGTAACCTTTCAAGTTAACAAATAGGTGGGGGTTAAAAAGACAATATCTACTTAAAAAAAAAAAAAGACACCAGAATTAAGTATGACACGTGTGTTATTTTATTTGCCTTTTGGATACACTAGTCTGCTAGTTAATATAGATAAGTTTTAGGAGAGTCATGTGCATGTAAGCAAATTAGTAGTTGTCTTGAATTTGTAATATGAGTGTATCTGTGTTTTTTGTTGGGTCCTGATTATATTGTAAACATGTTCAAGTGTGTCACTTAATATAAATTTACTGCTAAAAAAAAAATACAAAAAAAAAATTACCTAAGCCGTCCTTAAAGTAATCTGCAGTAACAGAAGAGAAACATATAGCAATTATTTAAAATCATAAGTCATACACATATGACAAGATTTTCTTTAAAGAGTTTGAAATTAGAATTTTCCCAAAAAGATTTGGGGCATATATCTTTATTGGGTATGAGTTACTTGCTTAAGGAAATACATAAATACATGTATTACTTATTCTCTTATTTACCAACCTTCCTTTCCTTCATTTATTTCTTACCTTCCAGAAACTTGAAATGGGGGCACATCATATATATATATATATATATATATATATATATATTCAAAAATATATATAAAATATACCTACGTGTATACTTATAGGTTAAACCTTTTTTTTTCTCCAGCTAAAGCATCTTTTCAAGAAAACAAGACAAAAACTCTCAAATATAATTATACATGGACAGAGAACAAAACTACAAACGAAAAGGAAATGTCAGTGGGTGCAGAATAATTTCAAAAATTGTATCGAGGAGAGGGAAAGGGAGGGAGGGAAGTAAATTTTTAAAAAGATTCGTATTTGAAGATGGTCAACATTTTTTTTTTTTTTTTTTTTAAAGCAGACAAAACCTTTTTAAAAACAAAAGCAAGAGAGTGAAAAGTGTCTTGAAGTTTTTTTAAAAAAAAAAGGTAAAAATTGTTCCTTTTTTTTTTTTTCTTTTTAATATTCAAATTGAATTTTAAAACTGGACATCTTTAATGTTTTACCTGATGATGATGATGATGGTGGTGGTGGTAGTGATGATGATAATGATGATGATGATGGAAAAATTGAAAGTTTTTGACAAGAAAAAAAATTTTGCAGAAAAATGTAAAGAAAATGACAAGCCCCTTTTCCAAAGTTCTCTGGATGCTGACCCCCACCCCCTCTCAATACCACCCCAATCTCTTCTTGCCAATCGCTAAGAGAGGACATTAAAGGAAAGAAAATGGTGTGGCCAGCTACAATGAACTCTCACTACATTTGCTACTTTGATGCTATTTACAAAC